CTGCAGATAATGAAGATTATCAGACTGGAGGGTTATTTGTGTTGCTGCTGAATGGAACAAACTACATTAAAGCATTGAGATGCACATGCTTAAATATCTGGTTTTACCCTGTCTCTGTTGCTGCTCGGAGACAAAGAGAGTTAACCCAGCAGTGGAGGACAAACCTATCAGAGCTCTGGGATGAAGAAACATGTCTAGACAGGGGCTCTGGTTCTCACTAAGGCTCCCTTTGGCATGCAGAGACAATGTTTATGCAAGAGGTCAAGAATCAATCCATTTCTCAAGCTGGAGCTGGAGATGAAGCTTTTCAGGAGAAGAAACTAGGAAGGAAATCTCCACCCATGCACTGGCTACTGCGAAAGGGGACAGCAGCTTGGAGCGGAGACACCGTGGCCCTCTGAGACAGGATGTGTCTTGGGGAAATGATGTGTCTCTGAAGGGAAATGACTGCAGCTGTGGCTACAAAAAAAATGCATGAGCTTCCATATCACAGGATTTTCCAGTGGTTAGTCACTAAGATAACTTCTAAGCCCATCCATCCAGAACAGATTAGTAACTGATGCACAGATATTCCATGCAGTTCTCTAGCCACGTTATTTCCTCATCATGTCCTGCAGGACAGCACTATCCTAACGTGACTTTAGCAGAAGAAGAAAAGGGAGATTTTAGACACAGGCATTGAACATGGAATAAATAGATGTGTTGCATTTTACTTCTAGACAGAGCCTGAAATCCACTTTCTGAGAGAAGTAAGTCTGTCATGAAAAACCATGCAAATCATGCCTGGGCAAAAGGCTGGAGGTGACACTCATGTGCCAGCCCAGCCCCTTGTCCAGCTCATGTCACCTCTGTTCTCTTCTGCAGCATGTGTATCACAGCCTAGAACCCAGGGGCAGGTGCTGCACAGAATTTTAAGAGCCTAGCACACAGAGCAGAGCCCAGCTTCAGTCTTCAAGCACAGTGATGTGTCTTAGGCTTTTAATACGTTCCCTGATTTGTCTTGATTCAAAATTAATGAGACTGTTGACTTGACATACAAAATGAGCCTCCAAAAGTCTTGGGCCAAAAAAAGGTCTCTGTCTGAGGAATATTTCCTTTATTATTCTCCCATAATTTCCACTTATTTTGCCATAGGACACAATCAATAATACAATTTCTTCTCCAGACTCCTGGACAACTGGCTTTGTCAAGTGCTTTGAGAGCTACATCCTAAATATTCCAACTGAAATTACAGAGGTTTCCTGAAAAACTACATTCCCTTGTGCAACTGCTCTGTGCATCTTTCTTGTGCTGTGTTGTGAATGAGGCAAATGTAGAATCTCATCTTTAGATTTCCCTGGCTGATACAAACCAGGTTCCTAGAAGACCTAACAGAACAAGAGTGTTGGAAGCAGTCTCCTCTGAGTGACATGCATCAAGAACTTAGTTTACTATTGTGCTACAACTTCTGTCTGCAGATAGTATCTGATTTAACTTGACACAGTGTGTATTGTCCCAGAGCTCAGACAAATGAAGTGTTTTGAGGAAGAATCTCAGCCCAATTAAGTATTTAAAGAGTTGATATACAGCACTGTTTTAACCAAGCCACATTATTTAGCCACTGAAGGAATATCAAACCTTCTCCAATCTTTTGTATTCCCTGTGACTCAGCAACAATTTGAGATAATTATTTTGTCATCTCAAAAGGTGAGCTGTAAAATCTCCTATATTGCAAATCTCTGAGTTGTAATTATGGTGGTGATGCTGAGAGCAGGGTGCCACTGCTGGGGATGCCAGGAGCTGACTCAGCCCTGCTGCTACAAACTCACCCTCAGCCACTGGTGATCAGCAGTGATGCACTGGCAGGTGGTTGCCTTGTTAAGTCAGTCCTTGGTCTGCCCAGGTAACACCCAGCTTGCACCACAATCTCTGCTTAATGCTTTGGAAGAAGTGAAAAATGTTCTGTGATGCATCTTCCAGCCATGCAGCCATAGCAAGCACAGAAGCTTTCCTGGCTCTCCAAAAGCCCTGCAACATTGTCTGATAAGCCTTAATAATCTGGCCTAATTAGCCACTTCTTACTTGCCATCATGACTTATCCAAATATCCAGATATTAACGTTCCAAGCTGTACAGAATTCCACGTGTCAGAGCTTATGGTGAGGTTTAAGAGGAGCAAGTTATCCCATTCTAACCTGTTGCAGGGACTATGGCTGTTAGAGACAAAGGCAGCTACAGAAGGGCAAGAGACTGGCAGCAGACTCCTCTCATGTTGGCAGGGAGAGCATCTTGGGGTAGTGTAAGCCACTTAAAACAGCCTCCACCTCATAGTTTGATTGTTTCTTCAAGCAAGTGGAAGTTTTTCCATGTGTCTCACTCACTTCCAAAGAGTTCCATTCTAGAGATAAGATTAATTCCAGGAAATGCATCAAGTTATACCAATATTGTGCAGTCCTACAGGTAGCTGAATGTGCAAGGTTCAAACCCAAAAATAGCTCACAAAGCCTTAACCCCATGGGATGATTATTTTCTGCCATAGGGAAGCAGGCACTAAGAGTCAGATTAGCTGTCTCAGGCTGTGCAAACCACATCTACTCACAGTTCTGGGAATTGCTGAAAGGAGCCTGGGCTGTCCAGCTTTGGGAAAACTCTGCTTTGTCTTACTTGAAGTCTGGAGACATTTATAAACATGGTATGTGAAGACTAAATCCATAAATTAGCTCAGTCATGACACAAAAGCATTTGCAGGTTCAATAACCTAACAATCCCTCTTTTTAAAAAGAAATCCTATTCTTAAAACCTTCTGAACTGCAGAAATACCTAACCTATCCACAGGCTGTACTGGCTTCTTTTGTGCTTTCTTTTAACAGAATCACCCTAAAGTCCACTGTGAAATCAATTTGAGAGGATTTAAGATACAGTCATCTCTAAAAATACCTCTAAAATATTTCATTTTAAAAGTTACAAAGCAAGGTTTTATGCCAGATAAGAACAGCACAGGTATTTAAGTAGGTTAGTGGGTCTAGTGAAGCGCTAAAAGTAACCTAAAGCAAAATCTGTCACCATGTGTCTTGAATCATTTCTTTATTCTACTCTTGAAACCCTTTAAAATAGAACTGGAGGAAAGATGGTTTTCTCCTTTTCTTTTTAGCACTAGAATTCAGGGGCAACATGTCTAATTAGGCAATGTGTCTAATGAAAGATGGGAGGGCTTGGCTCTTCAGTCAGATACAATCACCCAAGCAGACACATCCAGCCCTTTTGTGCACATGTTCTCATTCACTGACTGCAAAATTCAGGATTTTTTGAGCAAATGTCATCTCTCATTTGCCCTGCAAAGCACTGCACATTTTGGTTGCTAAAAACTTAAAAAACATTTGGATTATGTTGCTAGAAAGGCATTATGTTCCAATTTTTGTCTAATACACAGTGGGCTGGCTATGAGGAAGTAAGCTTACATTTTAGTTAAAATGGTTTTTGTTGGGTTTTTTTATGTCATGTTTATTCCTGGGTTTTTTGGGGTTTTTTTGTTTGTAGCTATAGCACACTGAATTTTGTTGACAGCTGCAAATCCACTGTGCAATACAGCAGATCAAATTTTCTATTCTGCAACAGGGTAGGATATCTGCATATGCTCTTAGTTGTACTGAATAGAAATTTTTTTAAAGACAGTTTGGATGAAAGCTGCAGGAGTGGGCTAATGTGATTTTTCTTAAGTCATTTCTAGGATCACTTACTATTAAAATTGTGTCTATTAAAAATTATGTCTCCATTGTCAGTTTCCCTCAATCCCCTCTGTTTTTCCTTTCTGAGTTAGTTTACATCTTGCAGAGTTGTTACCATTCCCCCTCTGCTTACATTTTCCTTCCCTAATCCCTGTCTGGCCCCAGACTGCAGGTGTTGATATACACTTAAGTACAGATGGGGTAATAGCTTCAGTTTAAGGAACTACATAAAACAGTTCTTGTACACAGAAAAATTCCTGTTCTATTCAAATCAAGTTTGCAAAGCAGTTCTTCAGAAGTGGAATGTGGCTGTCCTGCTTCTCCCATCCCCCTGCCCTTATTTCCCTAGATTGGTAATGTTCTCTCTAAGTTATATGAACTGCAGCAATGGGGTTTTTTTAGCCATTAGGGGAAAGGAAATGACATATGGAGAGATTCAAGTCCCTCCTCATTCCTAGAGAGTCTATCCAGAAAGTCAGTGTGCTGAGCTCCATCCAAGTGTCGTTTCCTGCTCAGAATTGGGAAGGGGAGCTGGAGGCGGGAGGAGAGATGGATACGTAACATTAAATTGCTGCTTCTGATTAACAGCACATTCTACACATGATTTCACAGTATTGCTTCGAACAGAACTGAGCCTCTACAGCCCAAATATGTGTAGCAAGCCACTGATGAAAGAGCTATTTTTACATCTGTTTCATATAGTGTGCAAAAATGAAGTGATTGGGATGGTGGAAATATGCTTTGGAGATTACTGAAGATTTTCTGATAACTTTGTACCTCCGATCTTCCATATGCCCACAGAGCATTATTAATACTCCTGGTGGTACAGCTATTTTACCACTGTGAAGCTACACACAAAGCAATCTGTTACAGAGAAAAAATTAGGCAGCTTTCCACTATTTTATATATATATAAATATATAAAGGTATGTATGACCCTATAATTTATACAGATACACAAAAATAAATAAATCAGGCCTTCAAAAGATGACCCCACGATTTTCATTTCACATTGCAATGCAAATTGAGAAAGAAATGAAATAAAGGAGAATGATTCCTCATTACACTGCCTCTTTTGTTGAACTCATAGTTGTGATCCAAACTCCCCCACAGTGAAGGCCGTGCCATTGATTTTGCTTTCAGTGTGCCAGTCAATTGAAACTCTGTTCCTGATATGCGATTTACACATCACTTCTGGAGCTGGCTCATTGTTTTATTCAGTTGATCAGCACAACATTTTAATGTGGTCAAGCGAGTTGTGCTTGGTAAGAATTAACAGGATTTTTCTCCATTCTACTTTCTTTTTTCTCTCCTCTCCTCATCCCTTTAAATCTCCACTTCCCTCCCACTAATGACACTCCCCAGGGCAGTGGGTGAACTGCAACCTGGAAAGGGGCCACAGCGCTTCCACGAAATCTTCTGGCTTCTGCGGAAGAGTGTCCATTTCCTGGAGCCAGTCTGAGACAGACAGTGCTCTGCAGTCAGGAACAGAACTGGAATCCAGTGACCCTTAATCCATAGGAAATGCTACGAAACTCACAGCAAATCAATTCTCCCTCAGCTGTCCACAGGCTGAGTCTCTGCCCGCCTCGTGTCAGTGCCATTCCCTGGATCAATGAGAAGGAAGTGTTTTACAAACACAACAGACAACTGTGCACACTTGGAGCAGGAGTGTTCTTGTGAATGGATTTTCATGAAATTTCCACTTTCAGGGGGTGCACCCCTCCCAGCCTCAGGAGGGGGTCCCCTAATTCCCTCAGTCTTTTTTCCTAACATCCCTCTAAAGGCCAAAGGGTTAATGTGTTTCCTGTTAGATTTTAAGTGAAAGTTCTAACATTTTCCTTCATGGGTCAAATATAACTAAACACAATTAACCTTCATTAACTACTTCTGTTTTGACTAACAGTACCTCTTCCCTATTTTTCACACCTTCTAAAGTTTAGACCTGCACTTGAATCTACATCATACCTTATCACAACAGAGATTCAATACTCCTGGGATAATCCTATACTCAGCAAAAGGATAACTGTGACCAGAGGTGCCATGGGTTAACTACAGGGACAGACATCAGGATTCCCAGGCTCCAGGTGAATTCTGCCAGCAACTTTCTGAATGTCTGTGGATAACTTCCTTGGTGTCAGTTTGCTCTGCTGTAAAATAGATTTAGAAACAGAAGAGATCTGTGAAATAGTGTTGGGTAGTGAATTCCTTGGCCTGAAGAACTACAGCTGCTTCTTGCTGCTGATACACCACTGTGGTTCTGTGCAATTTAGATCATTCTGGATAGAGTAGCAGGAAGCAGCTTTGCTTAAGAGAGTATTTCAGTCTAATTCACAGGAAAAGTAAAAATAGATTTCTACCGATTTAACCATTTCTAATTTTGCCACAGTTTAAGCAGTTTTTCCTGCAGGGAAAAGTGAACAGACACAATACTGAACTGCAGGACTGCAAAGTCCCAGCTCTCCTTCCAGAGCCTGGCACACCGAGGAACAGCAAATGGAACAATCAGCCAGAGAGCATCTGCTGCTATCAGAATTTCAGAGGCAGTTACGTTTGCTGAGATCTCAGACTGCAATCTTGCCATCACTCCACAGATAAAATAGCATTAGCAACAACTGCATTCCAAGCCAGTTGATGTCAGCAGGGGTCTGTTATTGTTGCTCTCCATAGAGGAGTTGGCAGACTGACACACAGGCCACCAGACATTGATTCCAGCCCTTGTCCCGAATGAGGCATTTGACAAATAAAGAGGACAAGCTCTTAAATCTGACTGGGCCATGCATTAAAAAAAAAATAAAAAAAAATTCCCCCTGCCAAAACCAAACCAAACTAAAAACCAGGAGCAATAACAATTCTCTTCTTGCTTTTTTGCTCCTACCACGTTTTTGAAGCTAGAGACACAGTCTCATGGGTAACTGTGATCCTAACCTCAGAAATAGTTTGCATTTTCTTAGAATAAGGAGTGACTCACCCCAGTCACTTACTCATAATCATTGTAGATTGTTGCTTGTGGAAATACATGCTGCCAACAGGGCTCACTGGTGGATAGGCTGAACACATTTTTCTTGGATCAAAACAAAGTCTCAGGCCCCAGAAAGTTAATTATTAAGCCACTGAGCTGTCAGACATCTGAAGACTTTGCAGCGTTCTATTATTAACTCAATATATTGGATAAAACTGAAACAAGTAACACAGAAAAAAAACGAAATAGGGATAATACTATTGAACAAATGTTCTGCTATTTACTAATTATTAAATTTACTATTTAAAGAGACACAAAAGACAAGTTACTTGCATGTGTTGAATAGCAATTAAAGGAATTGTGATTTGAAGCAACAGTACTTTAATTTTAAAGGGGCTTTTGAAAGGTTGTATCTTAAATTCGATATTTAACCTGGCTAAACACTTGGGAGTTAGCACACAGATGTTCTGTGTGACCACACAGAGTTCCCCAAAGCTGTAGCTTGGTGTTTTATCGGGAAGATGGAGCAGATCCCACCTAAGTGTAGCCGGTGGGATTATCCCACCTCCAGCACCGCCCTCTGCCGGCCCCTGCGCTGCTCTACAGCGGTACAAAACCCGGGATTCTGAGCCCGGGCAGCACGGCTCTGCCCCTGCAGACCATCAGACAGCAAACCTGGGGAAGGAACGATTCCTTCATTAAAGCTGACTTTGAATAATTGCCTTTATAGAGGTCAATTCTTTCCATTCACTATGGTCACACAGAAAATCGTGATTTTCTAACTGATGCTTTTAGGTCAAGGGTGGAGGTTTGACAACAGAACAATGGACACAGGAGGCTTCACTACAGGTGCACAAAAGCCCTGTTTGGTTACTTTTCCCCCTCAGAAAAGTAAAGGCTCCAGCATTGCAAGGCAGGTTGTCCTTTCCCCTGTGCACAGGTTTACAATACCAGAGTGGGTCCAGGGGACCTGTGGTGACATTGTTCTACCTTGGCACTGCCCACAGCTGCTTCCACAGGCCCTGGGTGCCACCTGCAGCCTCACCCTTTGGTCCAGGGGCAGGCAGGGCTGGGAACAGATCACAGGTACAGTTCAGTCTCTCAGAGACATCCAAAGAAAGGCTTAGTACATGCAACAGCTTTTTTGGAGTTAAAGAAAAACAGTTAAATTGGGACAGGCCAAAGTAAGAAGGTCATCATGAATCAGTTCAGAACGGTGTGATTTGTGGCTTTTACAAGCTAGTCTCCTTCATGACAGGTAAAATCTGCAACCCCTGCTGACACATCAGTGACAGCAATGTGTCACCAGGACCAGGTTCTGAGCTGGATGCAGGAACTCCCACAGCTTCAATAGCCCAGCAGGACAATCATTATGGCAGTGACTCACAGACATTGCTCTGCACAAAACAGTATTGTTGCTAACAAGATGTATAATGTGTAGAACTATAGATACAGACAAATTATCTGCTGCCCTTTGTAACTTTATCACAATCCAGCAATACCCGAGCTCCAGAGAGGTCCCAGGATGGATGTCATCACCAGCCTCCAGTCAGGGAAGGAACCATTTGCCAGTAAGTGTGGGATTGGGAGCAGCAGACCTGCCCCACACTAATAAAAGCAAGAGTGACATCATCTACATTAGCAATAGCCCATTTAAAGAGATCTTTGTTAGCAGCACACAAGGCTGAATTCTTCATGAAGCACACCTGGTCTTCCATGGATTGCCAAAGTTACACCCAAATCCACTTTTCTATGCATCTGCACTTTAAAATAAACTTGGAGGCACACAAAAGTTGACCAATAAAGGAGACAAAAGCAGATTATTCTATCAGATTCACCTAGCAGTTATTTGTTTTGTACTACCTTGAGTTTTTTATTCCCCTCCACCCATAAAGAGTGGAAACAAAGCCAATAGGAACTCTGGGAGAATTGCCTACGTATCAGAATTTCTCCCCCTACCTCTTATTAATAAAAGTGACATGCTGTGGGTCCAATTAGGTCATGTTTATGAAACATCTAGTCCTGAACTCTGACCCCTCCTGTACCATCATTAGAGCTAGAGACACCCAGTGAGCTGGGACAATATAGTTATTCCAGCACATTTGACTCCTGGGAGGTTCAAGTTAAATAGCTCAATCCAAGTTTTTCCAGAAAGCTGGAAAAGAGAACTACAGTTCTTTCTCTCCACTCAATACTCTTTCTCCTCCAAACTCCACCCTGGCACAACTCCTTTGAGGGACAAAATGGGTTCCTGTAAGTAATGACTTTAGAAATAAAGGGACAGCAGATTCCAGAACAAAGCCTTAATTTTTGCTAAGGCAGGCAACTGCTTCAAAGCATTTCCTATGCTCTAATCCTAAAGGTACCTGAACATGTATAGAACTGGTTAACTACTGTACTTACCTCTCCTCCAAACTATTACTTACAGTTAAGTAGCACTAATAGTCTTTAAATATTTCTCCAAGAGGCTGAAGCTAGTTTAGCTCAGTTATGCACAGGGTAAGATGAATCAGATTTCTATAGGAAGTTCCTTGGTCCTGTAACAGAAGGCTGCTGTATGCAGAAATCAGAGCGTGAGGTGACCAAGCTGTTTTAAATCCACCTCTTCAGCATTGAGTCTCTCATGGTTTAGACCTGCTTAATGCCATTATCCATTTTTTAACTAAGTTTACTTACCCCATCAGTCAGCTTTTAAGAGAGCAAGTTGACACAGTTCAACTTTATGTACTGATAACACTTTATTGAGCTTCAAGTAAGTCTTCCCTTAAAAGCCTGTTCAGTATTTATTACTTCAACAGGCCATGTAGAAGGTAAGAGGTTATGGGGGAGCCTGCAGAGCAGTGGCTCAATGCTTTGTGAGAGGCCCAAGTTGCTCACATGCATTCTTTCCCCAGACAAGGACAGAAACAGGAAGTATTTACAAGTGTATCTCAAAGAATGAGGTTTACATTTAGAAATTCACAGACATATATGAATTTGAACAGTTCAAGTATGTTTCAGTTGGACAAAGTGCTACAGGACACAAAAACCAGTAAAGGCAAGAGGAACTCTATTAAGACAAAGAGGTGGCAGTCATTTGTGCCTGCTAAACCACTTGTAGGTGGTTGCAGAATGTGCAAGATCTAGAAGTTAAAAGAATTTGGGGTACTGTCCTGGATTTGGAAAGTGTAGCTGTCAGCAGTTGAGTCTGGTACAACATTTTGGTCTTCCTCCTCCTAGAAGGAAAGAAAAGAAGAATGTTGAAATAGCAGTAGCATTTTAATCTAGTAGTCAGTGCTGGAATAGAAAAAAAGTAGAAAAGACCCCCTGAAGCCACTTACTTCTGCTGAGAAATATTTCTCAATAATGGTGGATGAGGCTCTGTACACTTGTTCATTTTCATGTGACTGGAGAGCTTCAATTCTGTCTAGACCCCCACACTCTTCAATCATGAGGCAAAGCTTTTCAGTCTCATTAATCTTCTCAGCAGCCTGCAACAGAAAAGCATGGAATAACCTCAGGAAAGATATATGCCAGCAGCTACTGGAGAGCCATTAGCAACAACACAGACAATAATCAAGTATACTGCATCCACATACCAAGAAAATGTTGGAAACTGCATCCAGAATAACAAGTACAGTTTTGCTGTCTTTAGTTGAGAGAAGATTCAGTAGGGGTTCAAGAACACCAGCCTGAACAAGGTACACAATCTGGTCAATTGTTCCACCACTCGTATAGTTTGTCACAGCCCACACAGCTTCCTTCTGAGATTTGAAATCCCCCTGTGAAGGTAAAAGCAGAGTGTTTGAACACAGAATAGTAATAGGAAAAGGCTCAGCATAGTAAATATAGGCTTTGTTTACCTTCCTCAGAATACCAATGAGATAAGGCACAAGACCGTGGTCTACAACTCGCTGGATCTGATCCTGACGCCCAGCAGTGATGTTGGACATTGTCCAGGCTGCTTCTTTCTGAATGTTGTTTTTATGATGAGAAAGGAGACTTGGAAAGACAGCCAGTGCTCCTGAGTCAATAACAATCTGTGTTTGCTCATCAGTACCAGTGACAATATTTCCTATGGCTCTTAATGAAGGAGTCTGAAACAAAGATGAATAGAATACTCTAGAAAAGTTGTTCAAAACCAGATTAGATTATAGCAAACACAGCTATACTTGATGGCCATCCACTCTAACCTTCCCAGTTAACAGCATGACCTGCTATATACAATGGGGTTTGGGCTCCTTGTTAGCATTCCACAGGCAGATGCTAATGTGTGCATACAGAGACTGCACACCTTTCAAGGCCAGTCTGCAAACAACCACCCATGACAGAGCTTAGGGAAACTACCTGCTAAATACTAATGCAGTTTTATTATGCTCTAATTATAGTGTTCACACTTGTGAACACTGTCCCTAGAATTTGGCTCTGCAACAGCAATTTAAAGGCAAGCTTGAGTGAATGTTGACTGTTGTGCTGGCCTGTAAGGTAAATACAATGATTATATAAAGAAGCTTGTTAGTCATTACCAGCAGCAGTCTGTCTCGTGTGGCACAGCACCCAGGTAGGAGAGAAACTGATGTCTCACTTCACAAAAATTAGAACAGGCACCTGACTCATGTATGAAAAGAGCCATTTAGTTTCATGGACTACTTCTACCTAACTGCAGTTCTAGCCATGATTCAAATCAAGCAACAGCAGCCTGCAACATCCAACCACTTACCATTATTGGCAGTTCACTGTATCCTAAGAGTCTCACAAGCTGTGGCACCAATCCAGTTTTCACAACAACTTCTATCCTGTCATTGGAACCGTCTGTGAGGTAGGAAATTGCCCAGCATGTGTCTGCCAACACTTCAGGGTCATCGTGGTGCAGGAGCCGGACGAGGGTTGGAAGGATCTGCTGGATGGCATCTATGGGAGGTGCAGGATTCTTATTGCGACACAGGTTTGAGAGGGTCCACGTAACATTGCGTAAATATCCAGACTGCAATGGTGGAAATAAATGGTTAGCAATAGCTTAGCTAGGTTCTACTCAGTAATTGTAACTTGAATCTCTCTGCACACTTACAGCCAGGGAAGAGAGGTCAGGAACAGCCAGGAGACTCAGCAGTGGCTCGATTGCACCATATTTAATAACCAGGTCTCTGTAGGCAGAGCCATCCCCTGGAAAAAAAACAAGAAAAAAAGCCAGGTGACGACCAGAAAGAAAGGGACACGTGTACACAGAACCACTGTGTGTTAAGAGGATTAATTCCTCTACTCCTTAAGAAGGGCTGGATAAATTAAGAAGAAACAGGAGGACAAAAGGACTACTGCCATGGTTAAGTCACATGACAAGCATGTTCAATCAAGCCACTGAGCTTCACCTTTTTTCTTGGAAGAAGAGGTAATGTAGTATGTTTTCTATACAGCTTTTCATAAGAGTTCA